GCAGAAATGGAAGAAAGAAATCTGTTTTTATTCAGGATGGCATAAAGGCTTTGAAATAAACTGTCCAATGCACATTATTCATTGATAAAGAAATCTATTATGTGGTCTAAACAATTTAAGTTTCAAGATCACACAACCAAATACATTTCTTCTACTAGTTATTTAAATATTAGTACTGAATCAGATTTATCTAAAGAAATATAGGCAACAAACAGCTGCTGAATTGTTGAATTAACCTTCTGAAAAGAATAGTCTATAAAAGGTAGAGAGATCATTGTTGCGATTAAACTTAAAAATATTTTTCTTAATTACACAATAACAATTACAAATAAAAACATTCAAGATAAATTACATTTTGTTTTGTACTTTACTCTGTTTTGCTGAAGAGTTGTTACTGCATAATAACACTGAGAACAAAGTAACTGTGTTCTGTACAAAGAAAAAAATGTGCACTCCATGACTAATTACAGTACTAATGATTAATTGGTGCAGACTTCCGTTTCCTTATGAAATTCTTAATTTGCTCCATTACCTCCTCAGTTTTTAAGGTGTATATGATGGGATTCAGTAGAGGAGGCAGGGTTGCTGACAAAGATGTGTTGAGGATTCTGGTGTTAGTTTCCACTGTGAAATTTATCCAAGCAATCATATATGTTACTAAAACAGGTATAAAGAATATGACCACTAAGGCTAAGTGACCCGTGCATGTTTTAAATGCTTTCCACCTCCCTTGTGCAGATGCAATCCTGGAAAGAGCAGCTATAATGCACACATAGGATAGAATAATCAATGCAAATGGCAGAAAAATGAAAAGAACAGTATAAACTTTGCCTATAATTAAATTTGCACTATTATCATTACAGGCCGCTCTGAACACTGGTCCATGATCACAGAAATAACTCTTAATGACAGGAATAGGTTCACAGAATGCCAAGCGTGTTATAAAACCCACTGCAACACCAAAATATGTGAAAGATATTACCCAGCAGAAAGCAAGTATAACAAACATTCTGGTGTTTGTATTGATTGTGCTGCTTCTCAGTGGAAAACAAATAGAGACGAGTCTTTCATAAGACATAACAACAAGGGAGAGAGATTCCAAGCCATATAAAGACTGAGCAAATAACATCTGAGTTAAACATGTCTCATATAACACAAATCGTGAGTCAAAAAGAAATTGATGTAAACATTTTGGAATAAGAGCTGTGCTAATGCTCAAGTCTACAATAGATAAATTAAAAACTGCCATGTACTTTGGTGTATGAAGACACTCTGACAGCCATATTATGGACATTAGAATACAATTGGCTATCAGGGTTCCCAGGTAAACGAAAGCCAGGAATATAAAATAATAGTCACTGTTCTGCAGATTCTGTAATCCTGAAATCAGAAACCCCACAGGGGAAGGAAATGTGGCGTTTATCTCCATTGCTGCCAGCTGCTGAAACGGTGCTTCAGTATGCCCCTTTTTGCTTTTTCTCAAGCCTAAAATCAAATTGTCAATAAAAGTTA